CCCCAAAACCCCAAAACCCCAAAACCCCGTAATAGCCTAATTTATAGCTATCAATGTTCTATAGATATAAAATTGAATATAGTATAAAACTTAAAAGGGATCTCTCTACAAATATATTACATATTGATTATTATCTGCGATTCTAATCAATTGATTTTAATAATTCACTTTATAATCTAAACCATTATGTCTCAAGAAGAACCAACATCAACAATGCCTCTAACTGAGGAAAATCTCTCAAAGAATGTAGAAATGTCAGAACCAAGTACACAGTCTATATATAAACAATATCACCATGCTAACTCAAACGATTCAATAGAGTCTTCCTATTAGGAAAATGAAGAGTTAAAAAAGAAAATATTATAAGGATTTGATGAGAAAAAAGATCATGAGGATATGGTTTGCAAGCGTCTTTGCAAAGAGAACAAGCACTAAAACTTCAATGACTACGAGAAGATTCAAGATCTTAACACTTATGCCTCCATGTTCCCAGTTCATAAAGCAAGTAAGTTCGGAGGAAGAGTGAATAGATAAATGAGTTCAAAGATGCAGCAAATCCATAATGATTACTTTGACAAAGAAGGCTACACAGATGAAGATATAGAACTTAATGATGGCAGCTTCGGATTAATATCATTCAGGTAACATTTGATAAGAAAAATAATTGTGAATTTTAGTACATTATAAGTGACTGGAAAAATTAGAGAGAGGCCAGATGTAGAAGTTACTCCTGCTCTCGTCAGTTTAAAAAAGCTGGCTAAATTAGTATTTCTATCCAAAGAACAGATTGAAAAAGTCATTATCAGACACCTTTCCTTTAATGGCGAAAAGAAGAGTTTGTTTCTAGATAGATCGAAAGTTATTGAAAATCTAAGAGATGTTGATATCAATCATACCAAAAGAAAGTTTTCCCAGATTAAGAGCAAACTCGTGATTCCATAAGCTATGTTTGAGGAGGATTTCACTGAATCTGATGATCGTTAGATGGAAGAAGATGATTTTGAAGAGTTTAAACAATAGATTGGTAAAAGCCATTCAGGGATTCACTCTCTGAATCAAAAATCAAATTCTTACACCATAGACATCATAATTGAGTAAGGACTAATATATCATACAATTTTCCCAAGATATACAAAGAATAGATTTTAAAACTTTCTTATAGGTTCCCTAGAGCAGTTTTGACATTCGAAGAAAATGGTGTGTAAAAAACATTCACAAAAAGCCTTAATGCTGAGGAACTTACACTTCTAATTAAAGATAAATTTGCTAACTGGAAAGAACTTGTAGGATAATCTTTAAATTTTTTAAAAAAACTCTCTTTTATTAACTTATCTTTTTAGTTGTTAGATATATTTCAGAAGAAATTAGACGATAAATAATTCAGCTTAGTGCCAGGCTAGGAGAATTTCTTTACGGTTCACAAAGACGACATTGAGGAAAGACAGAACTGCTATGAAATTGAAAGAAGGCAAAACGAAATGACTCATACGATGTCGTCAAAAATTTTCATAACACCTCAACGCTATGTGTTTTTATAGTTCTAGTATGTTAAAATCTCAATTAAATAATAATGTAGAAACTTCAAGTTCAACCTAAGATGGGACTTCGATGATCCAGCTCTATTTACCTACTTCTGTAACTTTAATGACCCATAGTGCTCACTTCAGGTAATGAGCTCACTCAAAATTATGAAAGTAGATATTCTTAAGCTGTTTGCTTAGGAAAGTAGTCTATTCTACTATGATCCTAGCTCTATTTGGTCAATGTAATATGACTTCAAGAAAGGCCTTGATAAATTAGAGGGGGTAAAGGATTCAGATGATTTGCTGGCTTCTACAGACAGAGTCGCGTAAAGAGACTTAATTAGAATTAAAAATAAGTCAAAGTGGCTTATTCTTGAAATGCAGCAGCCTACTCTCACAGTAATTAAAAACTTTGAATCTGCTTTATCAGCTGATATGTTTGGAGATAAATACGTAGAAGTTTCACCTAAGAAATTCTTGGATGAGTAGAAGATTGAATGGAGACTCAAGACTTAGATTCTTGATGATTTCGCTTAATCATAAATGCAAAACTGGGAAATAAAGGCACTCAAATATCTTAAGATTAATATTGGTCAATTAAATATTGCTACAACCTAGCAGTAATGAGCTAGATATTCTAAATCCAGGCAAAGTGTCTACATACAGCTAAAAATTTACAAAATTTTAACTAAATTACTTCAAAAAATTGTCCCTTATAATCTCACTCGGGGTTTTGGGGTTTTGGGGTTTTGGGG